CTATATTTATATCTATAGCTAAAGATATCTTATCTTATGCCTGCCTTAGCTCAAATGTCACCTCTGAAGAGAAGCCTTCCCTGACTTCCCACCAAAGTTACTTCCCAGCCTCTCCCTCCATCCCACCCCAGCCCTTCTCTATCACATCACCGTGACTTATTTCTCCATAGCATGATCTCATTTGTGTTCATGCAATTGTCCCCTTCCCACCAGAATGTTGGCTGCATGAGGGCAGGGATGCATCTCCCTTGCTCAGTGCTCTACACACACATTAGAGCAGCGCAGAGCATGCAATACATGCTCAAGAGATATGTAGTGAATGAATGAATGACTGAGCTCCAAGATGGATGCTCTGTCCATGTCCCGACTCTATCCACTGGACTGTCAATCCTGCTACAGAACCCCCGAGCTGTCTACCTCGACCCTGAGCAGAGATGTAGGCAATGTCCAACACCTACTTCCAGGCCTGTGCTTCTGCTGGGTCCCACCCAGCTCCCTCACATTCTCTATTCCACTGGTTTCAATCTGATGCCCTTTGGAGGCAGAACTCGAGACCTCTGCAGCTTCCTGTATCACTTGCACCACCAAAGTGTCTGGTCTATTTCAGAAAGCCTGGCTCTGAAGCTTCCAGAGTAGAATATAGTCCTTACACTGTCTTTATGTACGTAGTCATCACTGCATAGAGAGTCTATGGTCCCTTCCGCTATCTCCACCCCCCACCACTCCTTCCATCCCCTTCTGCTCACTGCCCCAGTACATGGGAGCCTGTCTGGCATCCTCAGCCTCTCTCCAGCCGCATCTCTGGCATCGCACGGCATCTCTGGTCCCCACTGCTGATAGCAAAACAACCAAAAATGGCCCCATGGGATGAGAGCCACTTCTCTGGCATCCGTTATTCTGCCTTTGATTTCCAAATTGTTTTATAGTTGAGAGCATGGACTCTGGATTCAGAGAACAAGCAGAATTCAAATCACAGCCCTTCTGTCACTGGTAGACTTAGTTCTTTCCCTACTTTATATCAACCAGAAAGAAAGAACCCCAGTTGGTGGCAGGGAAAGGCAAACAGGATTTACTCTTTGGCCAGAGAAAAAGAAAGAGTGATCTCTTGCTCCCAAGACACCTCCTGCTCCCCACGCCATGGGAAGCTGGGGGATTTTAAGGAGTTAGATATGGGGCGGGGAGGTTTATAAGTCTGTGGAAGAGGAACTTTAGATGCACAGGCACAAATCATTAACATGCCCTTTCTTATGACTCATGTTCAGAAAACGACAGTAATTTTCTTCTATGGGCAGGGGGACTTTCAGATTATAATGATATGTTAGTGATCTAAAGGTAACGAGGAGTAACCGGTTCCGGTTTGCTCCAGTTTTGAGCAGGCCTTACCTTCCTCTGATAATTGGCCAGGGGTCCTGAAGCTCCCGGACCATCTGCAGTCCTTGTAAACTAACACACCCAGAGATAAAGAGGCTAAAAGAAACTGTTTCAGAAACAATATTAAGTTTTCTCAGCTATCTGCTGCTTAAGAAAATAATGAGCTCTTGCAGCTGTTCTGCGTCTCAGCTGTTTTTCTCCAGGACTGCCCAGGTAACGCTCCCACTTACTAGTCGTGTGACCTGGGTCAAGTTACTTAACACGATGCTGAGCCTCAACTTCTCCATCTCTAAAATGGGGATAATTAACACTTACATAAAATTCGTTTTGTTGATGTTTGTAAAATAATGGCCCAATATACTGCTCAATATAAAGGAAGACACACACATGCTCACACTCACACACTTACACACACACACACACACACACACACACACACACTCACACACACGATTTCTGTTATTTTCTCCTGTTAACATTAGTTTGTGATATTTGGTGCCCCTATACATAAGCAGAACTCTTCTTCCGCTTCCCCACAGCTATAAATTCTCAATCTTTCAGCATTATAGCATTTTAATCTTTGAATTTTTCTTGAGTGGTTCTAGCTATTCATCCATTTATTTAATATTATAATTATCTCCTGAGGGCTTGTTTTATGTAAGCTCTGTGCTAGATACTAAGGACACAACAGAGTATGGGACAGATGTGGGTCCTGCCCTCTTGGAGCTTCCAGTCCAGCGGGGGAAACAGACCCGAGAGAGGGAAACACACACGTAAATAGATCCTAGAAAAGGAAACACACACATAAATAGATGACAAATGGAAGGTGTGTCATGAAGGAACAAGCAGGGTACAGAGAAAGGGAAAGTGAGGCACTGGGTCAGGAGGGGGTCGGTGCTTAGCTAGAGCCCTCAGAATGGGTCCCCAGGCTGGGGTGTGTCAAGGTGAGAAGGGAATGAAGGAAGTTCAGCCAAGAGAAAGGCAGAGGAGAAAGAGTTCCAGTGGGGGGAATCACAGGTGAGATTGCCCCAACAGGAACCTGGGGTGCCCAAGGAACTGAGAAGAATCCCCATAGGGGAGGAAAACTGGACCACAGGGTCATAAACATAGGGACCATGTCTTCTTGCTTCTGGACATTCTCTAGCACCCAGCTTGCTGAAAGGACAAAAAAGCAAGTATGTCTTCTGGGGCCCATTAGCCCAGGGACCATCCCCTGAAATCTAGGCATCCCCAGTTCCCTAAAGCTTCCTTGTAGCTCACTGCGGACCCTTGGCAGGCCGCAGAAGGGGATATATGGTCCTGATTTCCAATCACAGGTTGTGGGGCAGGGGTGGGGAGAAGAGAGAGAACGCATGAGAGAGTGCCCTCAGCAAGCTCAGAAAACAGAAGCAAAGATTCACAGCCACCAGATTCTGAGAATAAGACCTCAAAGATGAAGCACTCAAAACAGGACCAGAGATCTTTTCTCGGCTTCCATGCAGAAGAAAGCAAAACAGGAGAATCATCCACCTTAGGCCCATCAGGAGATGCTCAAGTTCCCGTGGATCCACCCTGCCATCTGAGCACTTGGCTTCTCCAGAATTGAAATGTGGCTCCATGATCCCCAGGCTGGCCAGTTCCCTCATCCACCCTCACAGGCCCACTCTCCTCCTCCTTCCCCCATGCCGACCACCCAACTCTGGCTTAGTTGCTTCTTTTCTTGACAATTGGGCTACTTACCTTTACCCCATCTTTCCAAAAGGTTACTCTCAATGAAGTCAAGGAGATTGTCCATGTACCTGAGAACTCCTCCCAGTGAAGAAAAGGAAAAAACACAGTCTAACCCCTTCCTAGCAGGGGACATGCCTTCTAGAGTCAGGCAGGAATGCAAATTATGGCAACAAGGGCTTGCATCATAAGTTGCAAGGGAACTTATGGCACTTAAGAAATAAACAAATCATCACTACTCTGTCCAGTATACCACTTTCACTTTCCCTATATTTCACCATTAGGGATTTATTCCTCTGTGATGTCCAGGTGCAGTATTAAGGCTGGGCACAGTGGCTCACATCTGTAATGCCAGCACTTTGGGAGGCTGAGGTGGGCGGATCTTGAGGTCAGGAGTTCGAGACAAGCCTGGCCAATATGGTGAAATCCTGTCTCTACTAAAAATGCAAAAATTAGCCTGGTGTGATGGTGTGCACCTGTGGTCCCAGCTGCTTGGGAGGCTGAGGCAGGAGAATCGGTTGAATCCGGCAGGCAAAGGTTGCAGTGAGCCAAGATTGTGCCACTATAATCCAGCCTTGGTGACAGAGGGAGACTCTGACTCAAAAAAAAAAAAAAAGTAACAGCTTACCTGGGGAAGTTTAATAAGTCATGCATTCACCCACTTAAGGGAGAAGAGGCTATGAACAAAGAGTTCACAACCATGTTAGCATCATCTGAGATACTTCTAGAAGATACCCAATACCTGGACGATATTCTAGATTCTAGAATCTAGAATAATGGAAACTAAGCCTCTGAAGACTGGATCCAGGTACCTGAAGTCAGTAAATGCTCTCTGCTGCGACGTGAGTGCTGAGAACTTGCATGGACACGCCTTTACCTGCTGAAATATTGTTCCAGGAGACACCCTGCTGATCAGTTACACACAGCAAATTGCCCAAAGGAGAAGGCAACTACCGTTCAGATCAGGGGCTGTGCTGGTTTCTCCCACAGCGGAGCTCTCTCTGCCGGATTTGAGAAGGTACTCTAACCTGTGGTTTCTCAATGCCCCTGTCAGAGGGGCTGGAGCTAAGGGCTCTGGTTATATGGGGAAAAGAGAAAAACTAGCTGATGAGAAATGAGGATGTATGTGTGGCCAGAACACTGAGCAGAAAAATCTCTGGCCAAAGGGTAAGATGTTCTAACTGAGAAATCAGAAGCAAGTCACCACGGTGCATTTCAGTGTAACGTGCACACTCCAGTCCCCACTGCCTCGGCCCACAGCCTGCCTTGGAGGATTCAGGAAAAATGAAAATTAATGGGGTGGGGAAGGTAATCAGCAGTGAGTCCCACTTTTGTTAATAACCACCTTCCATCATGGGTAGAAGGAGACAGAGCATCCATTCAAGGCCAAGGTCACCTTGGAAAAAGAGGATGGGGGCCTTAGAAGGGTCTCTCTCCAGCTCAGAGCCTCCCCAGGTCATGGAAGATGGTCTCAGAAATCAGACCGTCCCTTTTGACATAAGCAAACCATCACTACTTATGGTTCACTTGTCTCAAACCACATAAACTTGGTTTATACTTAAACCAAGCACGCTCATGATTTGAATGTGCTTAAAGACCAGCTTCCTGGTCTTCAACTCCATTAGGGTTGCAGCCACTGCAAGCCAGTAGGGCAGTCTTCAGCTCCCGACACCTGACACTGCCTCTCAAGGCCTCCATATCCAGCCTGATGCTAACTCCCTGCTACAGCTGCGAAGAGCCAGGTACCTTCCAGGTACCTACAAATTACAGGATCCTATAGACAAACACCTCTCTTAAGTCGGCTGTTTCCAAAGCCATTTCCATTTTCCGTTCACTTACACAGCTTCCCCACAGCACCCTTGTTGCTTGATGATGGGCAAGATAGACAAACAGGAGCCTTCAAAAATGGGTCTTTGGTGTGTGTGGCCGGGAGCTGGGAGCTGCAGGGCAGTGTGCTGCCCACTCTGCCCAGCCTGCCATGGAAACCCTACAATGCAGCGAATCCAGCTCACATGGACTTGGGGCAGGATGGCCAACCCTGCCTGTGAGGTTGCAGGTCAGTAGAGAGAGGGAGGGATTGCAGTCACCCCCTGAGAACATTCATACTCTAGGCACCGTGATGAGCTGTTTGCATACGGTGCCTCATTTAATCTGCACACTAGGCTGGTCAAGTGGGTATAGTTTAGTAGTTGGAGCTTGGATTGTAGAGCTAGACTGCCTGGTTTCAAATCTCAGCTCTGCCACTTTCAAGCTGTGTGGCCTTGTGCAACTGACTTAATCTCCCTGGGCCTCAAATTCCTATAACTTATCTGTAAAATGCAAATAACAGTATCTTATAGGATTGTTCTGAAGTTTCAATAAGGTCACACACACACGTACACACACACAAGGTATTTAAAACAAAACCAGGCACACAGCATATTCCCTGTTACCCACCATTATTACCATCCTTACCCCATGTGTGTGAGAATGTGGAGCCACAGAGAAGCAACACTTGCCCACAGAAGTGGCAGGGGTGAGATCTGAACTCATGACAGGCCTAATTTCAAAGCCCTTGGCTATAACTTGATGCTAAATGCTTGACTCTTCCCATCAGATCAAAGGCATTTTCCATTCCCTGCCAAGTACCACCTGAGTGCTCTTTGACCAATGGCCACCCCCTGACCCCAGGCACAAGAGAAGCTGTCCTGCCTCTTAGCCCAGGGGCTGAGATTGTAAGGTTGTGGGCAAGGGGCTGGGTGCTCAGCACAGGGGGGTCCTTGCCTCAGGGAGCTGGAAAAGGCCCCCTTTCTTTGTCCCTCCTCAGATCCTTACATCTACAATCCGGTTCCTTTCCAAACTTGGTATTGGCTGCTTGCAAGGTGAGGCCAGGACAGGGTCAGGTGAGAAAAAAGGAAAGTACACAGCCCAGCTGGACTCAGATACAGCCACCGCTCCTTGTCAGTGGGACTCCGTATGTCCCCTTGAGAGCTGAATAAGATTCTTCTCACCCTAATGTTATCAGAAAGTGCTGGGAACCTCCTCTGCGCCACAGCGAGGCTTTGGCGGTAAGGCATGCGGCAGACATCTCTGCCTACCCAGCACCCATCCCATTCTTCTGGAAAAGCAACAGGTGTTGCTTTAAGGAACCGCCACGCACACACTCAGTCCATATGGTTTGGATAGGGCTGACTCTCAACAATCATGTGACCTTGGTGTGACCAATCGGAGCATCACATCTTTCCAGGTATTATAGTTGATTTAAGGATGGGTATGAGTCCAAATCTCGGCAAATCAAAGCAAAACAGAGTCTGTTCCAGGACTATCATTAGCATAATCAGGGAAGAGACATTCTCGTCACTGAACTTAAACCTGAGGGTACAGGAGATCAGCCTGGGGCAGTTGGCCACAATCTTGCTTCCTTGAGAATGGCATCAAGCAAAGAAGAACAGAGCTGAGAGGCTGAGACAGAGACAGGAAGTCAGTAGATCTTAATGGCTGAACTTTGGTCAGGTGCCAACCCATTGGCCAGTAGAGAGAAGGTCCAAACAGTAGAATAATCTCATTGGCTAAGATTGACTTGCTGCCCTACCCATTGGCCAATGACATTGTGTTAGCTCCTGGATGTAACTGCTCCTAAAGCCAGAATTCCAAGTTACCTAAGCCAGGATATTTCCTTCCTTGCTATTTGATTTGGGTCTACTTGATTTGGGTTTGGTGACTTGAAAATGGTTTGCAAAACAGAGGGAAGGAGAAAAAAACATTATAATAGTAATTCTGCATTGGAGGTGAGAATTCTACCACTGAACCACCAATGCTTCTAATAATAATTCTGAAATAGGGTTGAAGGGTGTTTAGGAAGCCAGCCTGTCCCATGTGTGGGGGATGAGAGAATCATGGCCTTCTCCCTCTCCTTCATGGGGTGGCCTAGCATTAGCCAGCACCATATTCTAAAAACATTGGAGCACTCCCCAAAGAAGTGGGGAGAAATATTGCATCTGGCCTCCGGCAGGAGCCGAAAAAACAATGGGAATTTCAGCATTGCAGTTTGGAAGCACTCGATTCTTTATGGCCCAGAAATCAATGCATCCTCCCAAGGAGCCTCTATTTGAGAGGAACATGGCATTGATTTTGAATGAGCTGGGCCACAGATATATCAGGCAGGCCTGACTGATCTCATGGCTATGTGCCCACCAGAGCCGGCCGGTCAGGAACATTTGATTCCAAGCCGCTAATGATTCAGGGGTCAATAGGCAATCAGAAGGGAAACCAGCCCCCTCTCGCCCCCAAGCCTTACTCTGAGCCAGGGTCAGGGCTAATGCAGCTGCCCTAGGTAGGCCTGGATGCCATGAGGATCTGGAAGACTTCAGAGACCAAAGGGAAAATGAGTGGGAGGCCCTACCCACCTACATACAGTCTGCTTGCCCCTGAGGGTTTGGGAGAATTTAGGGAGAAAAGGAAAATTGCAGCAAGTCCCTTTGGCCATGGCAGCTCCCCTCCTCTTACCAGAAATCAGAGGCAGCTCCTGCCAGGAAGTTGCCAACATCTGAATTCAGTGAATCTTGGGAAATAGCTACTGGGAGATAAGAGAGAGAACAAAACAATAACAAAATGCAAGCGAAGGCAGGAGGAGATCCAAGATAAGTCTTAACACCAGAGCCTGAGTAACGGATGGGGATTCGTTAAGAGGGCAAAGCTAAGGACCTCCTTGGAAGAGCTTTGCAGGGGCCTGAGGTTGCTCACACAATGTTCCTGACCCTCTTTCTATGATGACTTCCTACGGGTCAGCCCATGATGGTAGAATGAGGGAGAAGAGGGTGGCTGAGGGGAGGAAGAGGAAGGCAGGGGATTGTTCTTCCTCCCCTCATCACGGATAACCCAAGGAGTGCTCCCTCAGAACCCAAGGAGTGCTCCCTTGCTCTTGATTCCATCTCCCTCTTTTAACACCTGAGGGAGACAGACTGGGCCTGTCAGGGCTCTTTGGAGACAAGCAACAGAAACCAACCCTGGCTGGCCTAAGCACAGAGGGGACCTCTCTTGAAAGGTGTGGGGTAGCTTTCAGAATCAGCCAAAGTGCTAGGCTCAAAAGGGACAACTGTGAGGGACCTGGGGAGCAAGAGCCTCTACAAAGTCTGCTGAGATTGGAACCAAACTCCAACCATTCACTTTTCATCTTGAGACAGTAGATCTTAATGGCTGAACTCTGATCAGGTACCCACCCACTGGCCAGGAGAGAGAGGCTCAAACAATAGGAGAATCTCATTGGCTAAGTTTGACTCACTGCCCCACCTATTGGCCAGGAGACAGAAGTTAAAAGAATAGGAGAATCTCATTCACTGAGCTTGACTTGCTGCCGCAACCATTGGCCAGGACAGACAGGTTCCAACAATAGGAGAATCTCATTGGCTAAGATTCACTCATGGTCTTACCACTGGCCAGAAGAAAGAACACTGAAACAATAGGAGAATCTCATTGGCTAAGCTTGACTCCCTGCCCCACCCATTGGCAGAGCACTTGATTGACAGTCTTACCAAGTGGAGGACTGTGGAAAACCACTCATTGGTCTTACCATAAATGGAGTACGGAGGCGGGAGGGATGGATGTTAGGCAGCAAACAATAACTGGCCACGGCAAGGGTCATCAACACTTGAGCTCAGGAAAGATGATTTTCCTAAGGACCTTATTTTACTTTGTATCTGCTTATGCCCTATCAAGAGATTAGAAAGTATCTCTCCAAGCCCTAAGGAGGAAAATGGGTCAGTAGGAACAGATGCTGCTATACCTGCATTTATGGAGCCCTCACCTTGTGCTGGGCAGCGAACTAAGCATGTTGCACCCATGATCTCATTTCAATGTCCTACAGCCGTACAAGGTGATGGGCTTTGTAGATGAGGCTCAGCTAAGGGACCTGCACTGACCTCATGGCTCCCAGAGCGAACAGAGCTGTTGGACTCCAAGGCCCGTGCAGTCAAAATCTCTCCATAACACAGATTCTCAAGGCAGAATGGGAGCACACATGCAGGAGGAGTGAGAAAAGCTAGAGAAGGAGAGAGCTTAGGGGAAAACCCAAGGCACCACATGATGAAGCAGGAACCCAAAGCCTGGAATCTTGGCACCTGAATAACACACATTGTCCCCTTTGCTACCAGCAAGCACCTCTTCACTATCTGGCTCCCCCCAACCCCTTTCCTTTTGCCAATCAAGTGCCCTGCCAATGGGTGGGGCAGTGAGTCAAGCTTAGCCAAGGAGATTCTCCAGTTGTTTGAACACTGTCTCTCCTGGCCAAGGAGTGGGGCAGTGAGTCAAGCTTAGCCAATGATTCAAGGTAGCAGACACATGGAACATATAGTGACTGAACCACAGAGACTCGATGTCTCTGGGGAGGGTTGCATTGCAGGCGGATGTCTCTGATGTGCTTGGGGAAGGTAGGGGTTGGCAAATTGCCAGCTATCTATGTGTCTCACGTACCATTATGGAACTTTCTGACTGTCTTTTATTTTTTCCCCCACCCTCCACGAGGTATCTAAAAACACAACGGTCAAAACCAGGGAAAGCAGAATGGACCTCCCATTGATTAGCACCTACTAAGGGATCAGAGGCTTTTCCTATGTCATTGCTGAATCTCAGGACGACATTGAGAGCGAGACTGCTGATTTCTACCTTGCACAGGAGGACACTGAGGGTCAGAAACATGAAGATGAGCTGGGATTTTTGTGCATGTGTGACTGTCACGAGGAGACACATACTGCAAGAGCCCTCTTGTCCTTCCTGCACCGGTGCCGGGACCAATGGTGCTGGGTGGCCCGGCCCCTGCTCTGTCAGCTGGGCACAGGGTCCCCGACACCTGGAAATCTGCTCTTGCTAAGTTATGTCCTCACTTATTCAAAGTTTGTAAAAGGGTACCCTGGGAGAAGAAACGGTCTTATCTAGCCAGAGCCCTGCTAAAATCCCAATAAGCCCATTGCGAGCTAGAGATTGAAGTGTGATTTTGGCATCTCTCCTCTGGTGTGGAAAGAGATTACACTGAGTCATATTTCAAAAAGGCGCGACTGACACTGCATAATCTCTGGTCTTAACTCCCCCTGACCTTGAGAGAGCAGCAATCAAGTGGGGGATTCTGCAGGGGGTGGGAACACAGGTTTAGACGATCACGGAAAAGCTCAGCTGCCAGCAGAATCTCATCAGGCCCCTGTCTGGGGCAGCTCTAAAGCCATGCAGGAATGGGCTTTGGAGACTTCCCCTCCTACGACCCCCATTCAGAGACAGGGGCCCAGCCTTGATTTCCTAAGGCCCCAAGCCTGCCAGCCCCAGGCTCCCTGCCCAGCCTGGCACTGCCCCGCTCCCTGCAAGCCCCTCCCCCACTTCAGACCCTGGAGGACCCACCGGGACCTCTTCTCATCTTCCCTCCACCCCCATCTCTTTTCCAGTGACAATAATGAAGCTGAAAATGTCGCCAGAAAAGGCATCGATCTGTTTATCTATCACTCGCTAATCAAAAGTTTCCTGCCTCCTGTTAAAATACCAATGATTTCCTTTGCGGAATCAAACAGGTCTGTTCCCAGAGACTGAGCGCATCAGCAGAGACAGTTTAATTACTGTCTTTGATGCTCCTTCCCTGAATACCAATCTTTCCTGAGTTACATGATGAACACACATTAGGGGAAGAATTAAATCAAAAAGCAGGGACTGACTAATTGCAGGGCATCTTGCATGAAACCAGACTTCCCTGATGTGTGCACTGATCCTCCCTGGGACCCAGGCATTTTAGAGCAGCCAGGCCCTGAATGCCAGCATACTCAGAGGGGGGCCCAGGGTTTACACCCTGAGACCCTCTGACGCATAATAAACATGGTGGTTAGACTTCGTGAGATTGAAAGTCTGGTCCTACCCTCAGTCTCAGCCTGGGCCACTTAATTTCCAGGAGCCTCAGTTTTCATGTGTGTAAAATGAAGATATTAAATATCCCCATAAAAGGCTGCTGTGGGGATTAAAGCAAATGATGGAGGCAAAGCCTTGACCATAATGAGAGGTTCATTAATGAAAGCTGTTATTATTATTATGACCATAAATATAACAATCAACAAATGCTTCTGATAGACAATATTATATTTTATTATAAGATATACTACTCAATACACGAATTAGTCAGTTCTCATCCTGCTGATAAAGACATACCCAAGACTGGGTAATATATAAAGGAAAGAAGTTTGATGGACTCACAGTTCCACATGGCTGGGGAGGCCCCACAATCATGGCGGAAGGCAAAGGAAGAGCAAGGGGACGTCTTACATGGCGGCAGGCAAGAGAGCATGTGCAGGGGAACGCCCCTTTATAAAACCATCAGATCTTGTAAGACTTATGCACTATCACGAGAACAGCATGGGAAAAACCTGCCCCTGTGATTCAATTACCTCCCACCAGATCCCTCCCACTACCTGTGGGGACTATTACACTTCAAGGTGAGATTTGGGTGAGGACAGAGAGCCAAACTGTATCCATACATTTTTATAATTTTAGAATATTAATATAAAATATAATAAGCAGGCTGTCCCCTTTATACATCACTGTCTCACCAGTGCCTGGAACTGTGCTGCCCACAGGAGGTGTTCCATGAACATGGAGAAGGAATCGCTAAGACGGACACAGAGAATGACACAGTGAATGCTCTGAAGACTGCCTTCCCCACCTGATTCTGCAATGAAACAGAATAAACATGTTCACTTACATGGAGGTTGAAATCTCCCACACCCTCCTCTCCACCACCCTGCCCGGGCTCTCAGAGGAGCCCCTGCCCTCCAAGCCATACTGCAGAAGCAGCTGAGCGCCACTATGCACTCAACAAGCCCACTTAATTGGCATGGCCAGAAGGGTGGCGGACGACCTCTCCCTCACCCACTGCCAAATCCATTTTGATGGAAATAAATGGCTATCATATGGTACAATTTATGGAAAAGAATACACACAAAAACAATTTTTAGATTATATTTTATTCTAAGAAAAGGGATAAAAGTATTCACGGAAATAAACTAAAATAATTCCCCTATTCTATCTGGAGAACAATAAATTCTGAGACCCCCACATTCCTCCATTGCCATCCCCCGGTCATCATTTTTCACACACACACACACACTCACACACATTCACATACACACACATACACACATATATGCATACACAGATATACACATATATATACACACACCCATACAACCATGCATACACACACATATGTGCACACACACACCACACATACACACACTCAAACTTACACAGACGCACATACACACACCCACACCTGCACATACACTCCTGCACTGATAATTTCCCACCTTCTCCTTTCTTCTTTTCTGAGACGGAGTCTCGCCCTGTCACCCAGGCTGGAGTGCAATGGTGTGATCTTAGCTCACTGCAACCTCCGCCTTCCAGGTTCAAGCAATTCTCCTGCCTTAGCCCACCAAGTAGCTGGGATTGCAGGCGCATGCCACCACACCCAGGTAATTTTTTTGTATCTTTAGTAGAGACTGGGTTTCACCAGGCTGGCTAGGCTTGGTCTCGAACTCCTGACCTCGTGACCCACCTGCCTCAGACTCCCAAAGTGCTGGGATTACAGGCATAAGCCACCGCACTGACCTTCCTACCTTCTCATGTGGAGGGAAACTGGGTTACCCCTGCTATTCATCAGTCCCCTACCCACTGATGCCATGCCATTCCCAGTCAGGGGGCCAGCTGAAAACAATGTCCTCAAGTCACTGGCTCTTGCCTTTTTCGTCAAAGACATCAAGAAGCATCAAATTGTTTGAGGTGACATGTGCCCAGCCCAGGAGAAGGGTCCGGGTCAGCCTCAGTGGAGGAGGGCCCTCTCTGTGATGGTTGCATGACAGGCTTATCCCTATGTGCAGCTGCCTGCCCTCCGGTACCACCCAGGGTCAGGAGTGAGGTCAGCAGAAGAGAAGAGGGAGGCCCTTGGATTCTCCCATTGCTGATGCCCTGGGGCACAGGGAACCTCTCCTGTGGGTGCTTTACTTTTCCATCCAAAATATGGCCCAAGGGAAACTGAGGCTGGTTTATCCCCTCCCCGCACTGAAACCTCCATCAGGAACTAGATGTGCTGTTCCTCAAGGTCTTTTCCCTAAATATAAGAAGGAAGAACACCCTTTTGTGGGGACACTACTAAAAGAGATTAAATGGCTCTACACAATTCCACAAATATCCTACACGCTAGGCCCAGATAGACACTGCTGTGGTTTGGATGTTGAAACCATATCGAAATGTGATCCCCAACATTGGAGTGGAGTGTGGTGAGAGGTGTCTGAGTCATGGGGGTGGATCCTTCACACTTGGCTTGCTACCATCTCCTTAGTGATAAGTGAGTTCTCACTCACTCTGTTAGCTCACACGCCATCTGGTTGTTAAAGAAATTAGGACCTGCTTTCTCTCTCTTGCTTCCTCTCTCCATGTGACACGCCTGCTCCCCCTTCACCTTCCACCATGAGTAAAAGCTCCCAGAGGCCCTCACCAGAAGTCGATGCAGACACCATGCTTCTTGTACAGCCTGCAGAACCATGAGCAAATAAACCTCTTTTCCTTATAAACTACCCAACCTCAGGTGTTCCTTTGTAGCAACGAAAAAATGGACTAATATCGTGCAAGGTGACTCTGTACCTGCATGCAATGGTGACTAAGATGGGTCCTCACCCTCCAGGAGCACGGAGTCTCCTGGGAGAGGCAAATATCTCAACAAGCACTTACAGCACAGCGAGATGTCTCAGATGGGGAGGCCAGCCGTGTCAGGACATAGAGGATGTTCCTAGGAATCTGGTAAGGCTTTTTGGAGGAAGAACTTAGTCAGGCAAATGCAGGAGTAGGTCCAGGTGGGCTGGACCACCCAGGGTTGGGTGAACCATGTGGAGGAACTGTGTTGTTGGACTCCTGAGGTCAATGGGAAATCCATGGAACTGTCTAATGAGGGAGAGGGACACGATCCTATGTGCACTTCACTTTGGTAGTATTTGAGAAAGGACCCCTCATGTCCCAGGAGGCAGGATGGGCTTTTGCAATGCGAACAGTCCACCTGCTCACCTCTCCCCTCCATCCTGCCTATTTCCCGCCCTGGGCCCCCCTCCCCTCGGCCTGTCTTTCCTCTCTCCCTCTCTTCTCACGTTCCCCTCTTGCTCTGCCTCTCTCGCTCCCCCTCCATCATCTCCCCTTCATTTCTTCCACTTCCCGCTTCTCAGTCTCCCTGAGTTCATCATCTTCCCTGCCCCTTTTGCAGATGCAAACACAGACAGCTGGATGTCATTTATTTTTCTGATTTTTTTCCCCACCCTTTGCACACACACAATTCCCACCCCCCTCATAATGTAAAGATGACCTTTCTGATATTATCAATTAAGGGAACAAATCCTCTTCTCTGAGCGCACTCCAAGCAGCTCCAGAGATCTTTCCAGCCGAAGAACACGGAAGGACCGCTCCCGCTGGCTGCCCCATCGCCTGTACCACATCTCTGGGCGGGCTGCAAGGGCGGATGGGGAGCCTAGTGCAGGCAGGGCAGGGCAGACCAGTGTGGGTTGGGGACTGCGTGGGCTGCAAATGTGTCTGCCCCAGCGACCATCATGGAGGGTCTTTTCTTCTTCCCTAGCCAGAGAGAGAGGCCTGGCTTCTCAGGAAGGGGCTCTCCAGTTGAGCTCTGGCCACTGAGACTCCTGCAGGCCTCCCTGTGGCGGGTCCCAGGGATGGCTCCTTCCCTCCCATTGCCACTGCGCTGAGGCGTTTTTACGCTGTGTATTATGGTTTCCAGAAGGTCATCTCGCATGGAGCTGCACTGCCTCCGCCTCCGCCCACGCTGCCCAAAGCTGCCCTTCCTCCTTTTTGTTTCCCATCCCTCCTCTTCTCCCTCCTCATTCTCCCATTCTCCCTCCTCCTCCCTGTCACTCAGTCTGAAAACGCACTCGAGGCTCTCCCAGGACACCATTCCCATCGGAGCCACACAAAGGCAGCGGAAGGAGGCCAGCGCCTGTGCAGCGCCTCTGACTGGGGCCCTGCCTGGTTCCAGCTCCTCCCCGGCCCCAGGAAGGCCTTTCTCTCCCAGTTCCGCGGCCAGGGGCTGGGCTCACCTCCAGGTCTGCTGGAGACATTGGGTCCGGTGGTGGGGAGCCGAGACGGAGCTGGGAGAGGCGGGGCACCCTGCCTGGGATCAGATTCGGGGCTTAGAGCACGTGGTCTCGGGGAGCCCATCCAGACGGTGTCCCTTGGCCTTTCCCACGGCAGCGCCCCCAGCGTCTTATCCCAGATTCCCCGGGGGCCCTGAGCACACAACCTGCCCAGGAAGAAAACCCCAGATAGCACCGGCCCACGCCGTAGTTACAGGCTCGGCTTAATTGCTGGGCAGGGAGGGGCAGCAACTGCCCGCCGTGGCCCGTGTGGCTGCGGCTGTCCCCGAGCGCACGCTGTGCGCCTCAGAGTCACACTTGCGCAGACTGCTCCGTGCTGGCGCCTGCCCGAGTCCTCTTCCTACTCCTCCAGCGGTGCCCACCAGCACTCAGAAGAAGACTGGGGAGGCCAGATTGCTGGGCCAAAGGCGCATTCTGAAAGGGGGGTGAGCACAGGCAGAGTGGGAGGGAGGAAGGGGGGAGAGAGAACACTCAGCCCCAAACTGTGACACATTTGGCCTCAGTCTCGTTTCTCGCTCCTAACAATGAATGGCTTCTCAAAACTCAACCCGACAGAGAAAAAAGGGGACAAGGACGTCTCGTGACCCTGGGCCAGAACTCGTTCCTGTGTTCTCGGCTCAGAACACCCCTGTCGTGTCCTTGCCTCCGATTCCTCTCCAGGTGCCCTGGGCGCCCAGTCCACGCAGGTCTTCCGTGGCCGCTTCTCTAGGGCCCAGGCCGCTTCCAGGAAGAAGTGCGCTCTGGTGACACCATCAGGCCGCTCGGGGGCACTGCAGAGGGAAAGACCGGAAGCAGAGGACGAAGAGGAGGGCTCCCACCTGGGACCCGCGGCACACCCCCCAGAGCCAGGATTGGCAACGGTGTGGGGCTGGCCGTCCTGCCCAAGCCGCATGAGCCCCTCCACCTGGCTCCACCCCCTCCTAACAGCCTTTGTTTACTTAAAACGTGACCCAGAGTTGGGGGCTGGCAATGAGGAAGGAACTCCAGGAAGCCTCTCTGCCATCCCCCTGCCTCAGGGCAAGATTGTCCTCCTCTCGAGGAGGTGTGTATCTTCCTGCTGCCCTCCCCTTACGAACACTGCGTCTCCTACCATAAGGGGTATCTCTCCAGCTTCAAAAAGTGAGGAACTTGAGCACCCTACGTAGATGTCTATTAACAGGATTTTACGCTGTGATACCCTAGACAAAACTTTTCAGTAGACATTCTTGGAAGCATTCTTCGTAACAGCAAAACAACCGGGGACCACTGTATCGTCCATCACCAGGGTCTGGTTGAGTCCACGGTCATGCACTACCCAAGATTAAACAACACAGCCATAGAGAAAATGAGGCTCGGCCCCTACCCCCAAGGAGCTCATGGGTCAGTGAGGGTGCCGGCCACGCAGGTGCGCTAAGGGATCTGGTGGGAATGCACCTGCAGTTCCGGAAATGAAAGGAATTTATTTGCTATATCATCTCTATCCAGCATTATATGTTATCTTTTCTCCGTGGATGGCTTCCTTTGGCCCTTGAAGGTCCCCTTCACCCAGAGTGCACAACCACATCTGTGTGAGGCAGCTGG